ATTACTTGGGTTGTTACCGACATCTGGTGAAAATTTCATGTCAACAGCACCTTTAGAAACATATTTACTGAGAAAAATAGTGACGTGTTCAATACTTATTTTGCCCGCTGTATATATATATATATAAGAAAAATATGTTATGTTTATATATTAAATATATTTTTATATAATATAAAAATAAGAATATAAATATGTAAATGTATATACATGTAAATATTTTCAAAATATATACTGTATGTGTGTGTATTTATATATACATAATAAATATACACAGTACACACACATATATTATGTAAATAAAACTTTTATTTTGGATGCGATTAATCATTTGACAGCACTAGTTACTATTATTATTATTTTTACTATATTACCCCAATTAGTGTCTCTGCACTGGCTACCTATTAAGTTCCGTATCAGTTACAAATTATTATTACTTGCCTATAAGGCCCTTAATGGGTTAGCTCCTGCGTACCTAACTAGTCTTCTACCACGCTACAATCCATCACGCTCCCTAAGGTCGCAAAACTCTGGACTTTTGGTAGTACCTAGGATAGCAGTCCACTAAAGGAGGTAGAGCTTTTTCGCATTTGGCTCCCAAACTCTGGAATAGCCTTCCTGATAACGTTAAGAGAAAATTCAAGCAGATTGTTAAAGCCATAATGTGTTTAATGTGTTGAAATAAACATTAAATTAAATAAAATCATTAATATGACCGCCTCACGATTCTATCACTTCGTGTTAAGATGTAAATATTAAATAACTGGAGAAAAAATAAAACCGCTTTTTGAAAAAGAGGTAAAGAGTGAAAATGTTATTTAATGTTCTTTTAACTTTTAATAACAGTGAGTTAGCCGGTTAGCTATAGCTAAACTAACCATTTCAACCTTTTCTAAACCGGAAACAGCTAATGACAGACGCCAGCCACTATATGAAGACACTGAATAAACCATGCTTTAAAATATAAATAAATGACAGCTGTGTTCATGAGCGTTTGATAAATATAAACTCACATTTGACGTGCAAACATGCTGAAGTTTGTTTAGGTAGCGTGAAGTCGGAAGCAGTGCAGATTGTAAACACAACGTGACAGAAACACACAAAATAAAAGTCCCACTCCGTTTAACCAATATTACAGGCATCGACGAGCAGAGAGGAACGAGGATTATATTAATACAATTGGAGAACTAAACCTAATAACGTCTGTCTCAACAGTCAAGTCTTCCATAAGATAAACAAATTAAATTAAATCAAACGTGAAATAGAGATAAGTAAACCTATTGTCGCCACATACACACAAAAACAATGCTCTGGTAAATCTTAATTATGCCATAAAAAGTCACAATTGTGAGATTACAACGTCAAAATTATGTCAGAATATCTAAAAAATTATGAGATAAAAGTCTAAATTATGAGAAAAATAACATTATGACATGAAAAGTCGAATTATGTCGTAACTGCATTTTTATGCCATTATTTATATCTCATACGTTTGACTTTTCATGTAAACTTATCATGAAATTACGACTTAATGTTATAGTCATACATAATGTTATTCATTACAATGTCATTATGTCACATTTCTATATCACAATTATGGCTTTTTGTCATAATTTTGACTTTTGTGACCATTTTGAACTTTTATTTCAAAATGATTGAATTTCTGTCAAAATGTTGTCATAATTATGACTTTCTATGACTTAGTATCTCATAATTTCAACTTTGTTATCTTTTCTTATGTGGTGGAAGCTCTATTTTAAATTTTGATATGAAAGCTTCACTGCCCTCTACAGGTTTAGTCAGGCAAAGTTTAGTGATAATGTTC